GTGTGTGTGTGTGTGTGTGTGTGGTGGNGGGNGGGGGGGGGGGGTGACTGCCGGGGCGTTCGGAAGTGGAAGAGGTCTGGTCCGAAGAGGTTGTTCCTCACGAGCCACTGCAAGGGTTGGCACTGTCCGTGTGATTGACGAGTGCGTAGCAGAAGAGCCCGAGAGTGTTCAAGAGAGCTCCTAGTTAGTTTACGCGACCCCGCTGGCCGGAGCCGCTTACGAGGCTGATGAGCCGGCCATTAGGCTGGGTGGAACTCAGGGAGTAGGCGTGACTGGTCCACGTACCGGCCGATTGTCGGAAGGGTTGGGAAATACGTCGGAAGGCGCGGGGGCAGTTGAATCGCGTAACCATAGAGGACCTTTTACAGTGGTCAGGGATGAGGGCTGACATCGCGAAGATGTTCGATGGGTGGGTTGATCGATACAAGGTTTTCTCTAAGGCATGAACGACCCTCGTTGGCAGCTGCTAACGACCCTCGTTGGCAGCTGCTTCGCCGGAGACTGTTAGAAGTATCACGACGAAGCTTACGAACGAAACCTTTTCACTGACTCAGATGACCAACAAACGCGTCTAGCTGCTGCTTTCGGCCTGTATAAAGGAGGGGAAACTTTACGTCCTCCCCCGGCTATTTATGAAACAAATTACCGGCCCGTTGCGTTAGCCACTTGATGATATTCAAGCTCGTGTTCGAGTGTGTGTTCGAGTACGTGTTCTTCTGTTTTGTCAATCTTAAATCCTCAGTACTTAGTGTGTGATCCATTCTATTCGTGGGACCACAGTGTTCATCAACGCCATTCGCGGGGCGACCGTCTCTTCTCTTCATCAAACGCCGTCTAGGGCGCCAACACCAAAGCCGTCACCTCGCCGCCACGCGCGCGTGTCATCGTGCCGGTTACCTCCTGCAACCGCGCGAAGCACGGTAGCTTTCCAAGCACTGCTGACGCCTACGGTGAGGTGAAACATACAGTAGTGCCATTCTTCCTCACTCCTGTGGCCTTAGTTGCTTGTACTCCCAGGTGCACTTCCTCTTGTCCACTCCTGGGAGGCAGCGCAAATTACATATTCAGCCTCTTTCTTCCAAAGGAGAGCAAGAACGGGAGAGCAAGAACCAAAAAGACGCATCCAACGAAGCGGGTTTTTACAATTGATCCGAGCAAATCACAACTTCGGGCAAACTACACACTAGAGTTCTACTTAGCGAATGATCAGCTCATGATACCAAAAAAGATGATCGCTTCCCCCTTGAGCCGAGCCTATCGCCGGATCCACTGAAACCGGTTCGGAGGACAGGCGCGGGACACGCGACCACATAGCGGTTAGGAAGCAGTGATATCAAGGCAGTGTTACTTGACAAAGACGTATGTTGAAGTCATTCAACAGGCATTACGGTCCAGTTTTATCTGACGCCGTTGACGCGATTGGACACAGGCGTAGGACTGGCGACATGGTGCATGTACTATATGCCACGTTGATCCGTTTCGGCGAGATGGATTCCAGGAGAGTTTAACGTTGGTAATATATTTTCTTAAGGCACTGACGGATTCTTCACTTCTAGGTACTGACCGCCGATTCTTCACCTCCAGGTACAGACCGATTCTTCACCTCCAGGTACAAAGGAAGTGTCGGTACAGCGGATGTGCAGCGGTGAAGGTTGAGTAGAAGATGCCTTGGACTGTGTACGACTAACCGAAATGAAGAAATTTATGGTCTATAATGTCACCAAACTCGTTATCCATCAGTTCCTCTTCTTGGCGAACTTTCGGACGCTTGGTGGTAGTCGTAAGGGTAGCCAGGTAGGCGGCTTCTGCGGCCTTGTTTGCTTCTACGGTCTTTCTTGCATCCGAACTCAG